CCACAACAGCCGGAGCTGGGCCGATCCGAACCCAGGAGCCAGGAGCTGCTTCCAGGTCTCCCACGAGGGAGCAGGGCCCAAGCACTTGGGCCATCCTCCACTGCCTTCCCAGGCCACAGCAGAGAGCTGGATTGGAAGAGGAGCAGCCGGGACTAGAACCGGTGCCCGTGTGGGATGCTGGTGCCGCAGGCAGTGGCTTAGCACACAACACCACAGCACCGGCCCCAAGAACATCAGTTTCTAAAACTAATTTCTAACCCTCATGTCACCATAGCCAAGGTTCTCCAGAGAAGTAGAAGAGAGAGAGAGAGAGAGAGAGAGAGAGAGGGAGGGAGAGGGAGAGAGAGGTTGAATCATTGGCTCGTGCAGCTGTGGCGGCTGAAGAGTCTGTGACCAAGGCCGAGAGGCCAGAAGCCCACAGGAGAGCTGCTGGGGGCCGGTGCTGTGGTGCAGTGGGTAAAGCCGCCGCCTGCACCGCCTGCATCCCAGGTGGGCTTCGGTTCAAGTCCCGGCTGCTCCACTTCTGATAGCTTCCTGCTATGGCCTGGGAGGCAGTGGAAGATGCCCAAGTCCTTGGGCCCCTGCACCCACGTGGGAGACCTGGAAGCAGCTCCTGGCTCCTGGCTTCCGCCTCGCCCAATCCTGGCCATTGAGAGTGAACCAGCCAATGGAATTCCTCTCCTCCCTCCCCAGAACTCTGCCTTCCTGATAACAGGTCTTTAATAGAGACAACAGCAGCGGTGGCTTCTTGAGCCCAGCGTGCCCCACGTCTCATCTCAGGCGGAACCCCTGCCCCAGGAGACCTTGGTCTCTCAGGGCCTTCTGGGGGTCCGGTGAGGCCGCCACGCCCCGGGGAGCCCCCTTCATTTAGAGCTGCTGATCCCTTTACAGACTCCTTCCCAGGCCCCGGCCGCTGCGGCCAGACGACACCCCAAGCTGGCTGGCGGTGTCCTGGAGCACCCCCAGACCTGGTCCAGCTGCCCAGCACACAGAGGACAACTACTGCCATCTGGGTGGAGGAAGAACCGGGTGTGCATTGCCGAGCATGGCCAGGACCCGGGCAGCTGTCGCTTCTTTCCCGAGCCCCCCACGGGCTCCCCGCGGAATGTTGGCCCAGGTCTCTGGTGGGGGGTGGGCTGGAGCGGCCTGTCACAGCCATGCAGGTGGGGGAGGGGCTGGCGTGTCACAGCCGTGCAGGCCAGGGAGGGGCTGGGGTGTCACAGCCGTGCAGGCCAGGGCCCCCAGTGCGTCACTTCACGGGGAAGCCAGCACAGCCAGCGACAGCGCCTGTGGCAGGGGCTTGTGTGTGAGCCCGGGAGACCACGTCGGGGCGGGCCGTGCCCCCCGGTTCTCTGACAACGACTACTCTTGAGGACCCCCAGGGCCCTCCCCTGGGGGCAGGAGACTCCCTGGATTCTTCCGGAAGACCTGCCCAGCCCCACCTCTTGCAGGGCCACTGCCTCTCCACACTGCCGACCCTGCTTCCAGTGCACAGGTCCCGGGCACACACTCCAGCCACATGGAAACCCTGCAGCGGCTCCGGCGGCTCCAGGGGCACCTGCCCACGGCCCCTGCACCCCGATAGTTTAATAACAAGTCCCAGGCAGAGGCTGTGTGCCAGGAACCCGTGTCTGCTGGGGGAGATAGGCCGGCTCCTGGGAAGCAGAGATAACTGCCGGAGGCAGGGCCCCTGGCTGGGTGGGGCTGGGAACCCCTGGCCAGCTGGAGGCTGAGGTCCCCAGGGACAGGGTGTGGGCAGGGGAGGGGCCGTGTGTGGGTGCAGGGACGGTCAGCTTGGAAGGGGACAGAGGGGCTCTCCGGACGCGTCCAGGGAGGACTTCGGGCGCTCTCCAAGTGACGAGACCACGTTCTGTGGCAGGAGAAATTACACAGTGGGGGAGGGCACTGAGGGGGGATTCAGAGCCTCCTGCGCGGTGGGGTCGCGGGGCGGGGCCCCCCTGCCCTGGTGGTAAACCTGGCAGGGGCCCCACACAGCAGGTGCCTCGCCCAGGTGTCCAGGGGGAGAGGGACCTGACCCCAGTGAGCACTGTGGCCTCCTGAGCCCGTGCACTTCTCCCGCCCTGGGGGGTGGGGGCGGAGACGCCCACGGCCACTCAGGGGGTTCCAGGTCCAGGGCCCACACTGCCCTCAGCCACAGGCGGCTGCTGGGTCCAGCGCCCTCACCTGGGCAGAGTGGCGTCTCCCGGCTTCCCCTGGTACCCACGGAGGCCCTGCTTTCTCCCGGAGGGCAGGCGACGAGGGCGGTGGCCAGGGAGGCCTGGTCCCTGTCTGGGCCACCGTCCCCGCCCCGCCTGGAGATGGCCGTGGCTCGAGAGGCCGCAGGACCGCAGACCTGCAGGTCTCTCACAGCCCATTACTTCCTTCGAATGAATGCCTCACAGAGGGACTTCTGGACAAGCACTGCGCGGACCAGGTGGACAGCGTGGACGCTCGTCGGGGACACGGGCTGCTGGACAGGGAGGCAGGTCTCAGGGGCAGGCGAGGCCACTTCGTGCCGGCTGTAGACAGGGGTGGCCGGACTCTGGCCGCTCCCCAGAGCCACCCGGGCGCTCTGGAAGCGCACCCCAGGCCGAGCGCACTGGAATCTGTTTTTTCGGCCCCCTCGCACACCGGTCCGCCCGGCCCCTGGCAGCCCTCCCGTTCTGCTTGCGGGACCCGCAGGCACTCGCCCGCCCTGCCATTCCCGCAGCGCGGCGGGTGTGCGGATTTCCCTAGACGCTCACGCCCTGGGGCCTGTGCTTGGGGACCCCCGGTGGCTGCGTGGGTGTGGGCGGCTGGGCTTTGCCCGGCCCCCGCCTGCTCGCGGGCAGGGGCGCTGTCGGCTGTGGGGGAGCCCGCACGAACTCCCACCATGCACCCGCTGGCCAGGGGTGGGGCTCCCCCGGCCAGCCTGGGCGCGGCCTCCGTGTCCCATCCTCCTCTCCCTGCGCGCCCACGGGACCCCTCAAGCCACTAACAGCGCGGCTTCCTCCCCCGGCACGGGGCCTGCGGGCTAAACCGAGGCGTCCACCCGCGCATGCGTTCATCCCGCACAGTCGTCGCAGGCCCTGGCCTCTCGGTACACGCAGACAGCGCTGCTGGGGGAATTCTGGAGCCCCGCAGTACCCCGCCCCCCATCTTCTCGCAGCCCACAGCGGAGCGCCGGGGGAGGCCTAGGGTTGGGGGACCGCGGCCCGACGCAGCGGGATTCGAACCAGCATGGAGAACCTCCTGCGGCTCCGCCCCCCACAGTAGGCCACACCTCTTTCGCGGAGGCGGGGACGGATCCGACCAACCAGTGTTCTAGGGCCATGCAAATTAGGCTCCGCCCCAGGAAAACATATTTTCCCAGACTCCCCTGCTTCCTTTGTGAAGAAACTCCAGCAGCGCAGGCGCGGATCCTTCCCGGGTCCCGCGGCGAGGCCGGAAGTGGAGACTCCGGCGCAGCGGTACCGGAAGCCCGTGAGGGGAG